CCACCTTTAGCTCCTCAATAGAGGCACACTGCTCTAGGATGAGGTCCACCACTGAGCCCACAGTGGCTCTCTCACTATCGCCCTCTTCAGGCCAGGGGACACGACTCAGCAAGCGGAAGGTGTTTGTGAAATCGGCACCTGGAAGGCATAATACCAAAGCACAATGGTGACAGAGGGAGAGGACATATAGGTGGTTTAATGATTAGGCTTCCAAGAATCTTTTTTTTTTTTTTTTACCTGTGTTGTGCATGACACGCAACAGATCTGATACAAGCTCTCGGTCCTCTACCTCTTCTATTCTTACAAGGCCCAGCTTTTTCCTCATGATAGATAGGTAGAACGCCTTATACGTGGGCATGAATTCATCCAGGACGGCTCCTGCCTCTGCTGGATCAAGCTCAGAGCCCAACGCCTCAGCTAGGCGAGCCAGGTTCCAGCGGCACACAGATGGCTGTGATTGGTACGAGTAGCGCCTCTTTTTGTCTGAGGCATTGCTGACAAAGTCTGGATCAAATCTGACACACAGAAAAGTCATCATGTATCATATAATACAAGCACAGAATGTAATTTTCAGTTACTATGTCTCCAAACACTGCATAGTTAGACTGTAAGGCTTCTACTTCTCGCTGCATACCTCTCCATGAAGCCAAAGGGGCCATAGTCCAGGGTAAGACCCAGGATGCTCATGTTGTCTGTGTTAAGGACACCATGGCAAAAGCCAACACACTGCCACTGGGCCACTAGCCTAGCAGTTCGCGTCATCACCTGAAAATAAACAGGTAGAAACTGAAAACTGACACACCAGCATGGAATGAATCAACCTAAACGGAGAGTAAAGCACGTGAAATTTTTGTTAGTTCTCACCTCTCTGAAAAAAGCCAAATTCCTGTCTTTCCGGATGCTGTGAGCCTGCTGAATTTGAGGATAAAAAGTGTCACCAATATAATCCAGCAGCTGAGCACGGATATCATCCCGCCCAGCACTGGGACCCTGCAGACCTGAGAATTCATCTCGGCCCAGAAAGATTTCAAAAGAGCCAAACCTTCAAAAAAGAAAAAAAAAAGAGAGAAACAGACATGATAGCATCTGTTTTTTAAAAACACCATTATTACTTATATTTTTCTCTCTATACTGCTTCCTGTGTGGCAACCTGATGAATGTAGGAGCAACACGAAGGACAACTGAGCAGCGCTCAAGAATGCGTTGGCCATTGTTGAGTGGATCTCTGCTGACATAAAGGTCAGAGGTGACAAGGGATGCTGCACGAGTGCTGGGTATCCCTAAGGCAGCCATGGCCTCGCTGCAAAGGAACTCTCTGATGCTGGAGCGCAGCACCTTCCTGCCATCGCCGTCTCTGAGAAAATCCAAATATATATGTCAGATTATTCAGCTCTCAGTAACCGTCGTGTGGCCAAGCTATTTTAGCAACTCAAACAAAGGCTGAGATAATTTATGATCAATTCCAATCAAGTCATAATACTAGCACAATTCTTATAATCTGAGAGGGGTTTTCCCCCTTAACTTCAGCTGCATCCAATGGTCC